CATGTTGATGAACACGTCGAACTTCCTGTTGTTCTTGCGAGCCCACTCCATAGGCGCGTCCAACTGCACCACGCCGAGATTCGCTTTCTATAACATTCACACATTATTATGATAAACATGACATTTCAATAAATACTGTTCCCGTGTGGCTTCATCCATATGAAAATATGTTAAATGTGCTTATTTCATATTTACTCCCAAGTTTAATAGTGTGAAATAGCCTAAAGCATGCCGTAAGTGTAAGACACTTTATGAAAAAAAAAGTGTTCGAAAATTTACTATGTTTGTGGACATCCATCATAACAAAGAAATGTGTGTTTACGCTTTATTATACTAGTGTAGAGTATAGATATAGATTTCTATTTTTAAATATGTATAAATTTTTGAAAAGCTACATATATCAGTAAATGAAATTTTAAAACAAGTCACTACTTTTTCGTTTAATTTTTTACCGGTTACATTTTTCTTTTACTAAATTAAGGAACCCAAAATGTACATTTTATAAGCTACGAAATGAAATAATTAATATTGATATCTAAATGCTTTAGATAATTTAATAAAATCTAATTATAATGTTTTCTTACCCTCAATATAAACTCAGTTTCATTGATGGTACTGAAATTGGGTTCAATTTTAACGAGTTCAATACCAGCATCCGTGAACACGGCCAATTTCACATTCTTCTCACGTTTCAGCAGTTGTAGAGCAAGAATTATTGCTGTAAATAAATTAATCTTTATATTTATAAATTAATCTTTATTTTTATTATAATTAACTTATGCAAAATTTAATTTTATTGTCACAGTTCAATAATTAAACTATAACAGTAATAAAGATATATTTACAACTATAAACTAAATTTAATGAAATCTTTGTAGAACTTAGTACCGAAAATGTCTGCCTCCTAAAAAAATCTTCAAAACAAAAAAAAAATATTTTGTCTTTGGCCCCCTTAAAATTTCCCAGAACTAATAGATCTAGGATAAAATATCTAACCTGCATGTCCAGGTGTAACATTTCTGTTATAGAAGCACTCAGCAGACAAGCGCTTCTTGCTGCCCACTTTAACTGTGTCAGCATCACCACCACCACCGGGGGACGTTTTAGTCACTGTCTTTTTACCTTTCTTTGGTACTGTAAAGTTTTTACAGAAGTGACGACCTGTTAGCAAATATAGAATATAAATTAGTGTCAATATTTTTTAAATTCTCAAACTCTCCCTTTGTAACTCAAAACCAGACAACAACCTAAAAACTAACCTTTGTTATTTTAACGACATAAAATGCCGCAGTACATATAATTTGATGGTCATTAAAAGAGACTCTTTTCAGGGAGGAAGTTACAAAAATAATACCTTTTGTAGGCTTTATGCATAAATAAAATTACCTTTAAACATATGGTTTCTCATATCCAAGGTGATGAGATAGCGGACATTAGTGGGCGGCGTCAGCACCCACGTGTGGTTAATAAGTTTCTGCATTGCGTCTATTACCAATTTGTTCGGCTGCTTTTCGATACCTTTAAAAAACATAATTCATTATAATACAATTTCTACTTTATGGAATTACTAGTTGTCGCCCGCGAAAACATTCCCCGAGAATTTAATTAAAAACAAAACTTCTTTAAACTATATTTTACATCTGGGCCAAATTTCATCAACATCTATCTATCAGGCTGTTTTGGAGATGCAGAGTTACACACAACCATCCAAACATTCTCATTAGTAATCTATACTGATATTATAAAGAGGAATAATTTGTAATTTTGGATTTTAGTATGTATTACAATAACCCAAAAATACTGAACCAATTTCAAAAATTCTTTCACCATTATAAAGCTATGTTATCAGTGAGGATTATAGGCTAATTTTTTTTAAATTTGACGCGGCAGTAGCAAAAGCTAGTATTAATTGAATAAATTAGAGCGTAGCAGTTTACCCCATGTTTTGGCTTCTTTAGGATGTCTCTTGGTGACATTCCACTTCCACTCGCCGGTCTCGTTGTCGAACACTTGTCGCAAGCGGCGGCGATTCGTCTTTTCCAATGCTACTTTAGCCTTCTGACTTTTAAGTGGTCTAAAACAAAAATATAAAAATTCCAATATGAAAACATTTGAAGCCAGTTGATCAACAACCAATTTCACTAAGGACAAAATCATCAAATGTTAGTCTGGTTTACTTCGACCCGAACAGTTGGACAATAGCGGAGGGCTGTTATGATATATACGGACTCATTGGCGCATGTTAGTCTATATTGATAGTTTTGTACTACTGGCTTATTTTACTGTCATAATGTAAACATGGCAATTATATAAATAATTTATGTGGCGCTGACTCATAAATTGTTAGACAAAGTATCAACTTCCCTTCTCTTTATTCAACATCTTTCAAATCTATTCCGCATTTGCACATTGTCTAGTCTGTCACACAAATATTAAAATCGATCTCTTTTTTTTAATTACTCTAGCATTCTAGAACTTACCTTGATTTCTTCTGATAATTGGCAAGTGCAATATAAACAGCTAGCGGAGTAAGTTTTGATTTCTTGATGACATTTTTATCACTCAGCAAAGAAACAACAATGGCAGTTGTTGTTGAATCAGAACCCAAGAAACCCATGTTATGGATGCGCTGAATATTCAGTACTAAAACTTCAAGTGGAAGTTGAGGTAAAACTGCATTCCAAACCTAGTGAAATAAAACAATTATTTAGTCGCAATACAATTAAATGTTGTAAAAGTTCATTAGTTCAGACAAGTTTTATCTTGGACACCTATTTTCGATATAAAAAGGTTAATAATAGTAGAATCTTACTTCCTGTGATGTAAGCAGATGGCCAGGTACATGGTCAAGGGTAAATGAGTTTTTCTCCACAATCGCTGCAGCAGCAACTGGATCCTCGCAGCGACGGAAGTCTTCAACTTTTTGGATATAATCAAAAATTTCCTTAGTGTCTTCAACATTATCGACTAGCTGTTTAGCTCTCTTTAAACCAAACAGGGCGTATTTTATAACCGCTCCACGTGCTGTAAGTCCATTATTATTAAAGATTTTTACTCTGTGGTTAGGAAATTTAAAAACACAATAGTAAGCTATAGTATTAACTCACCATGATCATTTTCAGCAATCTTCACATGAGATTTACGGAGCAGAGTTTTATGTGATCGCCCATGTCTTGATTTAACTCTTGTCAATTCCTTTGCAAGTTCCATTGGTTCTTTCTTCATGTACCATTCTCTGACCTGTTTGCACCAACCTCGACCATTACCTATACAAATATTAGCTTCATATATTAAATATTATACAAATTTAAAGAAAAACATAATTTTTATCATAAACATACATTAACATACACATTTTTAAAGTTAGTAATTGACTTTTTTTATTGTATAGGGTGACAATAGAGTAAGCATTTACTGGTATTTCAGAAATAAATGAAGAGATTGCTGCTTATTAACAGCCTCATTGCATTGCCTAGCTTTAATATACATAGGAGACACAAAAAGGGGATATTTTCGCTTACTAGGGGAAGAGGACTAAAATTAGTTACAAACATGGTTTAAATTTAAACATGGTTTTAGTTATATATTTACAACAAACTTACCAGTTTCTAAAACCCATACGTAATAGTTGAATATCATCAATTGTTCAGCACTGACACATATTTCGGATGCTGCTTTATAAGTTGCTTCCTTAACAGCGGGACAACCATGCAACAGGCATTTAGTCAATGCAAATGCAATTGTTTCAAATCTAGTACACCAGCCTTGTTTGTGTGCCTAAAATCAAAGTTTATTAAGGACACTATCTTGAATACCACTGTAGAAACAATTTTTAATCATCCTAGTACTGAATAGTCAAGATGTCATAATGGGTTCATCCATCCATCCTTTGTGTTAATGGCGTTTCCTTAGAGATTTCGCCAATGTCAAGTATATATAATACTCTAACACACCTAAGACAACCACGATATATATACAGGAGTTAGTTGGAAACATGACAGACAATCTACAGCTTAATATTATTATGGTTAATGAATGAACTAAGGACATACACGAAAGGGGAGTTCACAAGAGAAAGAAGCGATTTGAGATCAATAGCATAATGGGTTAACCAATTTAAGCATTATTTATCACCTTCGCTTGGCATTTCTGCACTGTGGAGCTGAGCATTGATTATTGCAGGAAACAGTGTTATTTTTAAAAAGCACAATGTGCAAAGTGTTTCATTGATTTTTATTTCGCCTATCAAGTTACAATCACAAAGAAAACAGATACTCAATAATAACACAATAGGTATTATGAAAATTGCAATGGAAATCTGTAGTTAAAAATTTGTAAAGAATCATTAAATATTTTTTACAGAAAGTCTGTGGCCTTCATAAACTTTGCAATATTTTTTGTGATATTACTATAAAAAGCAGTATACACAGAAATGCAATGGTTACAATCACACTGTGAGGAAGTAGCATTTAAACAAAAATGGCCTGTTTCGGCTTAAAAATCATTTCAGGAGTTTCCATTCTAAAATATACCACATGCATATAAAGTTTATGAAGAGATGGTTTAATTAGCTATTATCAAAATAGCTAAGATGAAAATATACTTCTAGTGCTGAAGATAAATTTTGCATATTGTTTACAGCATTTGTTGTGTAAGTGGCTATTAAACTGTGGCCTTCGGTTTAAAAAAAAACTGTACCTATAAGGTAAAAAAACTCATTTAGAAACAGTCCTAATCTTAATTATCATGCTTAATACAAGAAATCTACAAGCTGCACATGTCAAAATAAATCCATTATCAGCTGTCTCTTTACATATTAATAACTTAGTTTGTAAATAAACTTACCTTAAGAATGATATCAACAACCTCAGTATTATTAGACCCATTTTGTAGTGCTAATTCTATTACTTTCAAATTTCTACCATCGAAATAATCATGAGAAGACCAGCAACCAGGGTAATACTTAGGCTCTTCTTTTCCCAGGTGGAGAAACCTTGTCAGACGATTTCGAAGAACGGGAGTAAGTTTTGTTGGCTCCATTATTTGAGTTGAACTCCTCGCCTGTGTACAATCACTGGCGATGTATCTCAAAATATCGTGATCGTATCATTCACTGACATTCGGATGATGGCGTACAACTGTGGAAAATACAGACAAAGACATAGGTAAATGCACTGGTCTAGAAATCTATTAATTTTTTGTCGGTAGTCAAGCGAGACATGTGGTATAAAACAAATTGAGGATGTGGCCAGAAAAAATTGACAATGGAAGCGGTTTCAATATGGCTTTGCACAGCATTTCCGAAGTGTTTTAGGTTTAGTTATTGCATCACAGAAATGCGTACTAATTAAGTAATCACCTAAGGTTTAAAAAGAATAAAATAATGGCAAATCTACAAATTACGAGATTCCTACCTTGTTCGTTTAGTTTTTATACAACTTTTCTATTTGACGGAATGACGGATGGATAGCAAATACCAAAGACTATAAATGAAGAACAGTTTTGAAGAGAAGTTTGTGTTCTGTGCGTCAAAGAGTAAACATGAACTTCAGTAAACGTCTTATTTGACAATGACATTACATTTAAGTGTGACAAAAAACAAAACATCGTAATCATAAAGAAACAAACAATATTGCAAAATAAGGAGAAATCATTATAATTTGATAATAATAGGAATATTCTACCTTTGTTAATCGTTTTATATTGCTTTCTTCAGTTCATACAAGTAATATCCCGTCTTCGGCAGTGCAGTGAAGTAACTTAAAAATAAATTCTTCAAGATAACAAAGTTTATTTCTTCCTAGAACATCTCGCAGTTAAGCCTAAAAAGAAGTAAACGTCATACAAATTTTGTAACATTCACATGAGTTTAAACGTGGAGGAAGTAAACGAAACTCAACAACTCATGCAAAATGAATGTGATGAACAGAAAATATTGTCACAAACAGCTACATCGCCGGTTACAAGTAATAAATTATCCAGCGGAGCAGCAAGCCTTACATCAAGAAATCATGGTCCTGGTCAATTATTCACGAGTACAGGCAATAACAGTGTAAACGAATCTAAATTATCATATGTTAATGAGCGTAGATTACACCGCGATTACGTACGTTCTAATTATAATAATAAACCAAAGCACATACCAAAAGAGACACCTGATGTTAAACATATGGAAAAAGCCTTACTAGAGTTACTTGATGACTTTCACACAGGAAAATTAAGTGCATTTGGTTCTGGTTGTAGCATGGAACAAATGATCAATATACGAGATCAGCAAGAGCATTTAGCTAGATTACATTTTCGTTTGTATGGTGATGCTGAGAAACCCACAGAAGATGGCTTCGACAACTCTGATTCTAAAGACAAAATGTCCCAATTGGTGCAAAGTTTGGAGCAATTATCTGCTTCCATAGAACATTTACATTCGGATACCTCTGCCAACACCAGCAGTAGTAACAACAACTAAATGTTAAAAAAAAAACCTTAATTTAATTATAAGAATATGGATATAAGATTTATTCTACAGTTATGAAAGTAATCGGTAATTTTTTTGTCTCAATAAATATTATTAGGTAAAAATCTGAGTTTGATTTTAGGCACTTAACTTATAATCCTTAAATGTAGAATATAAAATGTTTTTTTAAATTGATAAAAACAATTAGATATAAATTGTATTTTACACAGTTATAAGTTTAAGTGCATATGCACTCTATGTATTTTAATTATTGAAGTAGATTTCCTTATTGGTATGTCTGTATTGATTACCATAAATACAGATATCCTGAAATAGTGTGACTGCCTTTGTAACAGAGAAAATTAATGGTTTTCAGTTTTCACATTTATTATAATACAATAAATGGTGGACTTGTTTTGTTACCTCCAGGTTTTATTTATAAATTTTGCCTATTGCAATCCCACTTTTTAAAAAACTATACTATATTGAAGGATTTCTGAAGATGTAGTTAAGTCACGACCTGATTCAATCAGTGTGCGTAGTGCATTTTTACTACCAAAAATACGCATATTCGTTAAACACTTGTAGTATACAAAATGCAGGTAACGGCCACGCGGCGACTTGCTTGCTGTTGAAACTTTGATGGTAGCTACTGGATAGTCGATATCCAGCGTGTCGTAGCTTATGTAAGCAAGGTTGTCGGCTAAGCGTAGCGACGTAGCAGCGTAGCGGCTACGGTCAGTCGCACTCTACGGCGCGTTGGTGCGGGCGTGCGGTTCGGTTTGTATAGCGCACCCCGCCCTGCTCAAAACACAAACCCGAAAAGTAATATTTTTAAACAAAAGTTTTTTTTTCAATTTTTAGCATATAAACCCTATACAGATTTTATTAAATTAATGCTTTTATGGACGGGAAAAAAGTTCCGAGTAGGATCAATGAGTTAGACAGCTTTTTGTTGTTTTCAAACGACAGGCGGTAATTTGGTTTTCGCCGATTGTCATTTAATTGTTAACTTTTCTTTTAATTTTTCTAACATTTATTTATCATTTTACGTACACAATAAAAAGTAATTTAGACTATCATGTAACTCAATAGCACATAGAAAAAACTTTTTTTTTGCTTATTATTGAATACTAATTACCGGAATATCTTTAAAGTAACGACGAAATGAAAATTACCGTAGTTATATTAAGTACAGAAATGTAGAAACAAATGAGTAGATAATTCATTGTAGTTACTTGTTGCGCTTTTTAAGACTCGAAACAAATGAATAAACATGAATTTCAAATATTTTTCTAAAACAAGCGAGAACTAATAAACTCAGAAGACACATAAGAGTTGTAATTTGTGAGAATGCAGTGTTCTCTTTTAGTACTGCGTTATTTATGTTTATAAGCTCTATCTTTACCGACGCTGTTTAATCACAATCATTCATATGAATATTAAAATGTAGCTTTTTGGTTGTAGTTTAAACAATAGCACATGAAAATAAGTATTGTTATAAGACGTTTCTGTAAAATTTATTTTCAATGTTATTTTACATTTATTTCTTTTTCTTTTTTTAAAAGCAAAAAAAAGCTTTCATCCACTTATGCTATGTATAATGTAAAGTTCTTTACCATAGGTTTTTAAAAAAATAATATAAATTGAAGAAATTACCTATAAATATTTTTGCTTAGTTACAAAATAAATTATGTGATTTCTTTGAATTTGTTGTTCCGATGAAATGGAGAGAAGACAAGAGGAGAGTAGAATAAGAGCAGCGTTGCCTGAAGATCCGGGTAAGATACGCTTTATGATAAAAAAGCAACACTACTTTTCAATGTTGTAATTAAAAAAAAAAAGTTTCTTGGAAAATGCACAAAATTGCTTCGAAATTCAATTTTCTTATAAATGACAGCACAAAGTTTTGTCTTGATAAGCATAAGTCGAAGGGACAATTTCATCAATTACAAAAAATTGGGTCATGGCCATATGTTATCTGATTTTTCGCGGATGGTTAGTAAACATTTTTTTTATTCTTGTTATGGTTATAGTCATTGTCGATATTATTATTTTATAGCCTGATTTCGTGCAATTTTGTGCGATAAGGGATTTGCTTGCGGTCCGCGGTTTGATGAGACACATAGTTAATTAAACTCGTGAATCCAGCTTGAGATATCCATGTCGGGTTAAGACGGATATTTGAATATGGGTAGTGTTAGTTTTTTAACTATTTTTGATGTATTCTGTATTCTTAAAAGTTATTTGTTAATCTGTGCTATTTATCAATACATTTATCTTTATTTAAAACAACAATATTGTTAGGAAAATATTAGGAAAAGGAAGGAATATTGGGGGGTAGTTTCATAAAATATATGGCAAGGAGTGGCTCGGGCTCAGTTGTAGTCTCGGCGCTCAGTCGCCAACAAACGCAGTGTTTTACTAGTTGTCGCAACGAAACGTTCGATATATTTGCGTTATCGCATTGGAGTTCAGTTTGTGTGTTTTAAAGTAATTTACAAGTATTGTCGTCCTGTATTTCAAAGAAGGTAATTTGTGGAAATATCTAACAGTAGGTAGATCAGCAAAGTAAGCTAGTAGTGACTTCTCTTCTTGAGTATAACTCGCAGGGCATTTGTTTACTGCTGCTTGGTAGATCTTAAGGTAAGTTGAAATAAATATAATTCTTAACAAATATCTACTTCTGGTTCAGAACTCTTAATTGAATTGAAGAAGTATTAATGTTTGTTACAAACGAAACCGAACACTTACCAATTATTACATGAAAAGGTCAATACTGAGTTATTCATTTATTCATTTGCGTCGTACGCTGTCGACTTTCCTGGCGGTCTATTTGTCTAGCAGTTGCTAACAAGTTGACACATTTATTTTTCATATAAAGTTACTCTGCATTTCTTAATTTTGTCTAGTATCCTTATAATCTTTTGATTCATGTACTGCTTTAAATCATTTATGATTTGCTTATTGTTTTGTTAAGTGAAAAAGAGGTTTTTAGGCGATTGAAAAGTTTTCAGTCTGTATAAGAATATTAAAACTTTTTCTTTTGTAAATTTAGTATAGACGTGTAACATAATTAAGCTTACCTGGAAAATTCAGAACGGTACGTTCTAAATATTACTTAGTAACGAAAGCTTAGAGTTCCCGAGACGTTGTAATTAAAATAAATTGCGCAAAGTGCTTGCATACTGTTATTTAACAAAATTATACGAAGATGTTTTCGAAATTATAAACTACTTTATAAATTTTGCTTACGTCTTAAATTATTCATGGGGTTTTACCATGTTTAATTTTCAATTAAAAAATTTGAAGTAAAATATACGGAATTTAATTACGCTGTTAGTGTTATAAGTTTAATATTTTTGCACACTTCATTGTTATGCTCGTACAGTCGATATTTTTTTGATTGTTTGTTACGTCAAGTTTGAACAATAGACCTTGTTCAGTAAAAACTAGACGTGACGATACCTACAGCGCCGCAAACAAAAGACTCAAACGCTTTGAAAATGTGAAGTTTTACATGGGTTTTATCATATGTGAGATAATGTTCAAAGAAAAAGTGCATCGTGTCATAGGTCAAGAGAATAGGTTGCTCCACCTACAAGGACTATGGAGTCCATAAATACGATGACGGTGGTTACGAGTCAAATATGGAAAGAGTTGAAAATCGAGTTTTACCTCACTTAGTATGTCTAATTTAATATCAAATTTGAATTACAACATTAAATTTCTCAAATACAGATTCATTGTTGAGACAGAAAGTTAGTATAAATAAGTTTTTCGAGTGAAAAAACCAATCAAGTGAATTGGAGGAAAAAGCACAGTAAGAAGAAAAATGTCACAGGTAAAAAAACTAATAAAAACGTAATAACGTATAAAACCTTCAGAACACGGCTACTCATAAAAAATAATTGGAAAAGCTATACAGACTTACACGTGGATTGCGCTTTTATAACGTATTCGCGAAAAATGATATTTTTTTCGATTAGGATGGAGATTTCAGAATGTGAACTTCGAACTGTCTACCTTGTTACGTTGAATGTTACCAAAAATGGAACTAAAAACAAAACGCTTTAGTCTCTAAAGTTCGTTATAATCTTATTAACAATGCGTCAGCGTCACACAGTGTTTTCATAATAAAATTCTCTTTTAGAGAAACATTTTGAAATTCCAATTAAATCGATTTCATGTTCTTTTAATTCACGGCACTTAAAGCTTTTTTTTTTTTATGACATAAGGTGGCAAACGAGCAAACGGCCACCTGAAATCGCCAAAATGACGAAGTGACCGCTGCCCATAGACATCCGCAATTGCAGATGCGTTGTCTACCCTTATCAGACGGAGGAGGAGACGCACATAAAGAGGATATTTCCCCTTCTTATGCATCTCCTCCACTGTCAAATCCAAATCCATTCCTCTTCCCATCCTCTTTTTATAAGAAAAGGGTGGTAAAGAGAAAGGGACTTAAATTAGCTTAAGGTATATTAGATGTCTTCTATTATTTACAGCACGATAAAAGAATTATAAATACGATACGACGGCGAAATTAGAATAATAAAGCAATTTAAAGCTTTGATAAGTTGTTGCAATCTTTTTATGTCATGAGTGGATGAAAGCTTTCGTTTGTTGGTTTGTTTCAAAGCACTAAAATTGCTTTTTAGTGCTTTGAGATTAAATGAAATATAAGTTAATATAAAATGCATTTATCGTTATTCAACTGATTTTATGATTAGATTCATTGTTTATTTATGGTAAAATGAAAGGAAGATATAAAAATGAAACTCATTTCATTTTAAATCTCTATGGTCTTTTAGATTTATGGCCGTATATGATACCAGATCGAAGTACGGATAGTATTCGCTGTGAATATTATGAGTGTGGGTACCAATAAACCTTTGTTACTCTGTAATAAATATTTATGGTCTGCTACAGAGCTGTTTTGACACGAATAAACGACCCTAGTGTAAACAATAATACCGTATGTTGGTATCGGTCTTCAATTGCGTTTTATAAATGTAAAACCTTTTTGTAGACATTTTTGCACAGTATATTTAATGTAGAATTTTTCTATTACAATACTTTTTTATTCGTAATTTCAATGTGAATACAATAATAATTTATATTA